CCGCGCGATGCCTCGAAAAATATCGCCGATGAAACTGCAAGGTAAAATTTGCGCTTCCGCGTTTGTGTTTTCTGCCGCGAAATTTTTTCATAAAAGCACGCAACGCTGCTGCACGAGCGGCGGCTAAATCTGTGTAGTCCAGCTCGGCGCAATAATCGACGAATGAATTCTGTCCGTTGCACCTTCACCCGTTTTACCCCGGCTGTTGCATTGTAACTGAAGAATAGCGCTGTCTTTTACGATCCCGAAAGCTCCCGATTGTCAATCCGCGTTACACGCGTGACTTCGGCGACGGAATAAGTCGTGCCAAGTTTCCTTTCTCTACCTCGCTTTCTTTCTCTCCTTCTCAGTCTCTCTTGCGGCTTTGAATTCTCTTCCCCCGAATCTCTCTCTCACCACTCTCTCTTTCACCGTCTCTCCTCTCGCACGCGCGGCAGGATACACCGACAAATCCTTTGGGCGCCGCGCGACAGGAGGCGCGCGACGGCGCGCCTGAGAAAATACGGTGCTTCTCAGCTATTCTCGAGTTTAAAAGGTTACGCTAGATAGTCGTCGATTTCGTCTCCTTCACCCTCTCGCCGATTTCCTCCATCTCCACTTCGCGACAATACCTTTCTTGACACGGCGCGGGCCGATTTACGATTCGCTTTGCTCTTCACTCGACTTCGAATCGCATTCGCTTAACAAAGAGATATATTTAAGAACGAAGGCCATAAGTAACCTCCGGATAACGATAGATAACGGTGAGATTTATAGTTTTTCCATGAACAGGTACGGTGGAAGGAGGGAGGAGGGGGAGGACGCATGACATTGAATTCCGCGACGACAGTGGATCGCGACAAGAGCCGGTGAATTGTTTGGGAATATTTATGACGCAGCGCGGGAGGATCGAAGTTTCCTGTAACGCATTTCTCTCGAACGAGCGATATCACGGCGGTACTTTGCTCCGTAAGAAAGGAAATATTGCCGTTAAATTGCCGACGTTTTTTCTCTCCCCCCCCCCCTCTTTTTCTTTCTGTCGCGAAGCCATGATCGCGCACCGGCCGGTGATTGTGCTCTCGGTAGCTCCGTGGTATGCGATTTTACGACGTCGTACAATCGACTCCAACGTCCCTTGGTAAATCGCTCCCCTCGCGGAGCGTGCACGCGCTCGTGCGAGTAGAAAAATTCCAATGCAAATGACATGTGGCGTAATTTACGGGCGTATTGAAAAATACTATCACATCTTTACGATCACCCGAGCGCGATCGCACCCGCAGGGTGCCAACCGGCCGACGTACGTGCGCTGGATTTTCCGAGTTAATCGCGTGGGAAGAACGTCGCACATCAGTCCGGATTATCTCCGCTGCGCGGAATATATCGCAGAAATTAATCCATTAGTTGTTAATAACATCTGGATTACGTTTACCCGAGTCACGCGCGCCCAAAGAAGTATCCGGGAATGAAGAAAGAGACAGATAGACAGAAGGAGAAAGAGAGAGAGAAGATGGAAAGGAGGGAGAGAAGGGGAGGGAAGAGAAAAGTCCTTCGACTATTCCGCTCGTTGCGCGACACGATAATTGATTTCGATCCGAGTCCGCTGGAATCGTGCGTGGAATTTTAAGCACTCCGCGATGCCGCCAGATACGTACCGAACTCGGCTAATTGCGAACGGAATAATTAATGATCGCAAGAGCAATGAAACTCCGTGAACGCGTACATACATCGCGAATGGGTGTCCCTCCCGGGAGTGCGGCGTGAGGCTGTTTTCTGGTTGCACGTCGCTTGCATGGATATAATTCCGCGTAAGATGACGGGACTAAAGTACCCTCTTTGATTTCCGTCAGAGAAAGGAAGAAGAGTGCAGTGATAAGTCTGATACCATGTTCAATTTATATTAATTTATAATGTTGGTGAACTATAAAATCATTTCAGAATTGGCGCGATAAATTGTTCCCACTTGAAATCGTTTTCTCTTCTATATTCTACTCTTTCTCCGGGTACATTAAATATGTATTGTCGCGCGAGTAAATCCTCACGCTCGATCTGAGATGAAAGCGGTCTCGGCTGTTTCACGTTTTATAAATTAATTAAGACAGGTTGGAAAAAATTCCAGTACCATGCACTATTACGTGACACGTGTAACGCGAACGCAATGAGAGAAAAAAGAGAAAATAGGAGAGAGAGAGAGAGAGAGAGAGAGAGAGAGAGAGAAAGACCTGGAAATTATGCAGTTAGTTGTTTTTATAGAAGCGAAACTCTTCATAAAAAGCGTTTATTTCCGCCGCAACGAGATCGCCCATATTCCATTTCATAGAGTCCTCGCTCCTTGCTTTTTTACGCTGATGAAATCTCCATATGCGTCACGACCGTTTAATAGCGGGAACACAAGTTTCCCGGACACAAATAAATTAACAGACCCTGAAAAACGTAATTATTATATTATACATGCGGCGCGTTTGAAAAGCAATTTTGTCTGCTCTTTGTCGCGACTCGCGCGCGCGTTGCTTTATATTTCACATTAAATAATAACTCGCTCGAAGGGAAGATGCATAATTTATCGCGCGCAGTAATTTTCAATCATATCCATCCGGCTGTGCATATGTCGCACGAACCCATATAGAAATCTCGCAAGGTTTTCTCAGATACACACACAGCATAAATTCCAATTAGAATGCTTGAATTTGTCCTAAAGTTGATTATCTCACTGCGCTATCAATTAGGAACAAATAGGGAATCTCGTTATTTCTTACCTGAAAAATTAATTCTCTGTCTAAAATAGAAGCAGAAATATTGGTGGAACTTGTGCTTTTTTCAGTCGGTAACGTCGGTATACTTTCATGATATCAAACACAGAATCCCCTTTTTATATCAAAACTATTGAATTCAAAATCAACAAAATAAAATATTTCTAAAATACAATTTTGCTGAGTAATAAAGTTATTTGGAAAGTCAACGTATATTTTATTTAATTTTAATTAAAATAAATATCAGAGATAGAAAAAGTATTGAGAAAATTTTTGGCTTTTTTATTTTGAAACGTTATATTTTTGCATAAAAATTTTTCTGGAATATAATCGGAATTTATTCCAATTAATATTCCAATTAACATAATTTCTTTCAAGAAATTATAGGTCTGATTGTGAAATCTACTACGAAGATTCGAGTTAGAAGTGTAACGTTTCAAAAATGTGATTCTAAATAAAGATCCCAAACAGATGCCATTTTTTCTACTGAACGTTCTCTCTAAGTTCTCTTTTTTCGACTTCTATTTTAAACAATATATCTGACACGCTTTGAATATTTACGCATATTTACAAATATAAAAACTTAAAAACGAAAAAACTTAAACCATTTTAAGTATTCAGCCCAAACTTTTTTCTGTATTTAAAATTAACAGATTTTAAATTATATGAATGGTCTCCCTCATAGATTAATGTGCATAAACTTTGCAGCATCTTTAAGTATATTAAATCACGAAATTCAGTAACGTCTTGAGTGTTACAGTTGATCAGATTGCACTCATATTTTTCTATCACGTAAATGACTAAACTATCAAAAAATATAATTTCCGCGAATCAACTACGAATTGTCAAAATCGTCATTGCACCATCTAAGCGATAAAGCATGCCGCGACACGATAACAAATCAACCAGTTAGAATAGCGGATGGGAAGAGAGAAGAGATAAAACAGAAACCGAACAAATTATGAGAAAACGTTGAGCAGAATAAACGGTATCTGTTTGCCGCTTACGATCGCAATTTTATTTATTTGGGAAATTGGAGCAGATCCCAATTAGATCCCAGAAAATGTTCTATAGTTGGGATAAGGTTAGGATTCCTAATTGATATACGACACACCTATTTCGAACAAGTTTGGGTAATCTGATCAGAATATAGTACTTGGGGATGTTTGGGAAATTTCTATATGAGATCTAAACTTAATCCAACATTATTTCGGAGAATTACAATTATAGATGTACTACTGAATTACAATTATAGATCCTACAAAATTGTCTATCTAGGATCGAGTTGTGGAAACGATTTTGAAATGAGTTGTGGAAATTTTGATATTTTCTTTTTTCTCTCCTCTCTCGTCCGCTCTAGCGTTCTGATCGGTGTTCTATATAACGAATTGGTGAAGTTCAGTCTATAACTGAATCAAACGGGGTGTCACCGCGCCGGGTGTTACTCGGGGTATATCGATCCGGGTTATAAGAAAGCGTTTCCCGCGAGTTATGCTCTCGCTACCAACTCGGGCATCCATCCATCGCGCGGTCAAAATATTGGCGCGTCGCGAATCACGGACTCATAAAACGCGTAAATATCCCACCTTACGTCCGTGTCGTAACACCTTTATGTTTCTTCCCTATTTTCTTTCCACTCTATCTTGTCTTGTCTCATCTTCCCCTGTTGTCTCGTTATCGAAAAGATATAACAAAGTAAACTGTCATCTTTAAGCAACGATAAAGGAGACTCGACAGGGTGCTGCAAGGAAGGCGCTGAAGAAAGGCTGACGGGAAAGAGGAAAAAGTCTCTCGCAATTACTTCTCTCCTTAATCGCCTGGTCTCACGTAGACGCGCAAAGCCGTGATTCCGCAAAGTGAATCTCAGCAGCGAGCTAAATCTCGCGTCTGTCTCGCTTGGACGCAACCAACGAAACTTGCGGCCGGTAATTACGAGGGTCGCGTGATGGCGTTGTCTCGTATTCGGGAAAGGGCCCCAAGTTCGATGATAAGATATATCGACCGCAATTAGGACGATTATAGGCCACCTCTCGCGCGGAAATCCCGTCGTGATCCGAAAGAAGACCTCTGCTGTCGCTTATCCAAACCTGCGGTGCAAATTAAGTAACGGCCTCGTAAAGTTCGATGTGTTTCTGAGATCGATTTGATGTACGACACGGCGCTCTTAATTTTGCTCTTGAACTCCATGATAGTGTAACCGATTAAAACCTTTCTTTCGTTCTTCTAAAATGGACAACGCGTTTTCATGAATCTGTTCTTTCTTTTTGCTTTCAGGAGTGGAACGACTACAAGCTAAAGTGGAATCCAGACGACTATGGCGGTGTTGACACCCTTCATGTACCATCAGAACACATATGGCTGCCGGATATTGTTCTTTACAACAAGTGAGTACGCAATTTGAGAATGTTTTCTAAGGACCATGCTCAAAGTTGCCCTTTTGAAGCGATTCGCAAAAGTTACACTTATTTTCTTCTTCTTACTTCTCCTGTTTATTAGACGAGTCGCGGGACTGAAGATTGCTGCGCTTAGCAATCATCTGATATGAAATTAATGGATAGTTGATACGCGTTTGTCTTCAATTAAACGCTACCATGTTGGAAGCAAAGTTGTCACACATACGCGTTTATCGTATTGGAGTCACTTAGAGATTGGAAAAATAATTAAATAATTAAAAAGGTTTTTCTTCTTGAACTTTGTGAATTTGATTTAATTCCAAAATACGAGTTCTTGATAAAATAACTTTCAAATATATTATCTTATTTCTCAACTATATAATTACTTATATTTGATTTACTACAATTATTATAGTTTCCTTCTTTATTTCATTTCCTTCATTTTCCTTCATTTCTTTCTTTCTAGTATACAAAAGAATGGCATCGAATATTATAGAATAAAAGTAGACATCAAATTTTATTGCAATTTTTTATCAAGAATTTTATGGTTTTATTAGCTATTATTTTTCTGCAATTGTAATTTACGTTTTATTTATTCAATAATTATTTATATAACGTTATTTCGCATTATTTATTAAATTACAATTTATATAAATTTATTTAAATAACGTTATTTCTATCCATTTTAATTTATACATAAGATAAATTGTGAATATACAACAGTAACTTATTTTTTATATCAATTTTACAAAAATGATAATATAAAAACAAGCAGATAATGATTTTTTTGGTAAATTATCAAACGTATATTATCTACAAATACAAATATAAACGTACATTATCTACAAATTCTACGTTTACTACAGTTATCTATAAATTCTATTAAAGTATCTCTCATTAAATAACACGTTACTACGAAATTAAATAGGAAAAACAGTACAATAATCATAAATAATAATTTATATCGTTTCAAATTTCTGCATCTGGGCAACTTGCCCTATAAGATAGCGGCGTTCAATTATCGAGAATCTTGTGATGGAGGACAGGACATTAGCAAATCTAGTTAATATAATATGTATACATCTATGGCGCTCAGAGAGTTTCAGGATCGTCAACTTTACTAAGACTTGTCAGACGCTTCCTAATTTCTGAAAGATTCTTATTGTAACTAGTTCTGTATCCGTGCTATTTCTATACACTATCAACACATGAATATTATTATAATTACAGCGATAGAGTTTTGATAAGAACTTTGCAGCAATTAGGGAGCACCTCACTGGTCTCATGAATTAAATAGTCTTTAGGCTAAGTACCACGATCAGTCAGTAGCGTTGGTGGCTTGTTGGGTTAGCGACAGAGGCAAGGGGAAGAAAATAGACGTGGATCTCGAAAATTATTCCGGAAATGTAAGTCATTTTGAGCGCTGCCTTAAAATAACCGTCAATCGTCTTTCTATTCACTCTTCATGACCTCGAGACCACCAACCCTAATTTCATCGTCCTCCGTGCACGATTTCCTCCGTCTAGCATTTCCGTCTGTCGTTCGTCATCGCGAATCGACCATACTTCATGGGGTTTTAGAGCGGAGTGCAAAGGGACGTATCTCGTAAAGTCTCGGCCGGAATATTCCTCGGAGGAACGGCACGTCCTCGCCGGTCATTTTGAAAATCCATGCTGTAGAAACGAGCTCAAGCTCGAACTCGAGAGCTCGCGCTGCAGTGCGATGCGCAGCTAGCCGCCTCAGTCTACCAGCTTTGAGAAATAGGACATACTCCGAGGACACTTTTACGAGGAGGAGGTGTAGGAGTCCCTCAGAGAGATCGGCTCGTTCGCTCGCTGGCGATGGTCCGTATTCGCGCGCGCACTCTCACCGCCGCATCCCAGCTGTGTTTCGCGTCCTCAACAAAGCTCGCGTGTTGCAATTTTTGCGACGTTCACGCGGAAGTCGATACGTTACCACGCGGTTTCATGGAGCTACTGACGAGGTGTTGTTAAATCAATACTCTCTTCTACAATTGTGGCAATATGGGCCGCAATCAATCGCAACGCTCACCGCAATAATGATTGCAATTATCATAACGGTTAGGTCGCTACTGTGTGGTCGCTATTGTGACTACGACACTTGTCTGGCGTTATAAGATTTTTAGTTATTAATTAAAGAAGATTGGCGGATGGTCGTTCGCGATAATATATTAATGTTATCTAATTAATAACTGAAAATCAAAGTTTTGTCCAGTTTGACATCTACCATATCTCGCTCATTCACTCACTGATCATTCACAAAAATGAATATCTCGATAATTATTGCGAATATCGCAAAATGGTAGGACTTTTATGTGCACCTTAATCCGTACTATACCTCCACAAGAGCTTCGAAGGTTGTTCTGAAACAACCTGTATATAGCATTTATATCTGACCTTACATTTTCGTTGTATGTAAAAACTGAGAGTTTATATACGTAAAATGAAATATTACTGAAATGTAGGCGACATATAAGAACAACGTAATACTAACGGAGTGTAATTTGGCAGACTAAATTTTAAAAAATTTGCAAACTACAATTTGGCTGTACATATATGCTGGCGTATATCTGGTAAAGAAAGACAACACACACATATACTAATTCTCGAATAATTCATTAGAAGCGTTAATACTATTTATTTGACTACATGTGAATAAACTGAATATTAATGTACATATACTAGATGTGTGTGTACACCTATATATTAACATAAAGTCAAATAAAACACCACTAACACCTCTAACTCAATATTAGTGAATTATTTACACATACGGCATACTGCTCTTTTTTAGCTACACTTTTCGACTTCTCACGGTATTCCGACCTTGTTTTAAGGGGATAAAACACTTTAGCCGCATACGTGGAGGAGCTTAAAATCCAAAACCTGTAATCTTTTTATTTTTTAAACTTAATTATGAAATTTGGTATGAGTTTACATTATATATTAATAAAGATGTTACGTAAATTAGAGACAAAATAATGGCAGAACGGCAGTCGTTTCCATGAAACTTCTCTTTTTTCATAGTGAGTCTGATAATTTTATGTAAAAATTTCTAAACAAAAAAATATAAATAAAAATATATATAATAATATTATATATTAATCTATAAATATGTTTTTAATCTGCAATATATAAATTCTTGTGAGACGTTATTATCATAGCCGATTTTTTAAACAATTTTTCAAACCAAAGTTATTAAAAAAAGTCTTTTAAAAAAAGTATTTTTCTATAAAATAAACTAAGACATTTTTTGAGGATAAGGATAAAATATGACAATATTTTAAAAATTTACTGCAAATTTAAAATATATTTTTCTTTTTTTCTATGCACTCAGAAATTTTTATATGACTGTTCTTATTATAACTGTTTCGCAATTATTTTATTTTTCTTCTAAGTTACACAACATTTTTATCAATATATAATATAAACGCATTAAATGTCATAATAAAATATATTATATTAGGAAATATAATATATATTCATTTTATAATCTATCAATAATAAATAATAAATAAAGTGAATAATACGGAATTTTATTATTAAATAAATATATATATATTTTGATGAATCTGTTTTTCTGCAGTTAGCATCACGTCGATTTGATACAAAATTTATCTACAAGAAGGATTATTAAATAGCGAAATATTTATATAGCGCACACTGAAAAAAAATACTTGAAAATTTATTTGTAGGACAAAAACTTATTTCACAGAAACAAATTTTATATCAGGGAAATAAATTTTGTATCATACAAATAAATTTCCAAGTGTCTTTTCCTCAGTGCATACACTAAATCCCATAAGACTAGCAATCCATTTGCATAATTGGTCCGTTCATTTCGCCTGAGCATTATTACAGAGGCGAATAATTATGATTTCTTACTGAAAATGTGGATCAAATCACAAAGATCATGCACTGAGAAAAATATTTATTAAATGAGTACCACTAATATATTTACTTAAATGAAAATTTGTTTTATTTAAACCGAGTATTGTTTACTCGATTTAAATAAACAATATCCGGTTTAAATGAAGAAAATTTTAATTTAAATAAATATGTTAATGATATCCATCTATAAATATATGTTAATTTTTGGATATTCATTTCTTAATTTGCTTTTTTGTATACGTAATATGACGTTTGTCATCGATCTGAAGGAAAAGAAAAGAAAAATTCAGTATAACAGGCATATTTTTCAAATCTGTTAATTATGCAAATGGTTTAATAGTATCTCGTTGATGACGAAACGGGCGATTGGGTAAGTAGCCACGGGTAATACATACTATTTACAGCACAAAACGGGACATTTTCGAGCGCAGCGCAACAATGTGATTAGCGCGCGCGTGACGCCGACATTCACGACCGCAGATTTCATTTGCCGTGAGTCTTCATCGTGCACACAGTAGTATTCGGCCGCTGACGCGATGCATAATATGCGGTTTAGCTGCGGCCGCAAATTATATAAGTCCATGCAAATTACGAAACCATTAATCCGGAACCGTGGAAAATTAATTACCCGCGCTCGCCGATACCGTCTCGCGTCGCGCCTCGCGACGCTGCCTATTGATAGCCGCGCGAATATCTCTTTTCCTCCCTTTCGCAATCAAGGGATAAAACAGAGGAGCAGCCGTCGCCGCGACTGTGTCGTTCCCGTGATTTCTGAGTAAGCAGTGATCTTCCGTATCTCTTCGGCGGAACAATCGGCTCTCGAAGGGCGAGGCAGGCAATCTCGTCTAAGGCGTCGAGGCGGCGTATCGAATAAACCGAACTTAACTCGCTCTACTAAGCTCCACTCGAGCGCGCGACGTCCAATCCGCTATTCTCATTTCCATCGGAGCCTCGAAGCCTTCCCGCACTCCCACGAATTCCGGGCGGCTTGCCGGCATCCCTTGCGTCACAACGAAGGGAGAGGAGGGAGACTCCTCTCCTTTCATCCCTTCGAAGGGGATACAGTACGGCGCTGATACA